CCCGGCCCACAGCCAGCGCAGCACCGGGAGCAGCGCCTCCATGGCCAGCGCGAGCCCCACGGCCGCCGCGGCCGCTACCTGCCAGCGCAACGGCCCCATGTTGCCTCCCCTGTCAGCCCTTTCGGCCAGCTCCAAGCCGCGTGCGCGCCCCACTGCGCCTGCGCCCTGAGCCACCGCGTGCGCTCTAGGCCTCTGCTTGACCACGTGCGCGCCACGGACCCTGAGCAATCAGGGCCACGGACAACGCCGGCCCGTCATTCCTGTGGGGCTACCCGCTCAGATCCGCCTCGCCGGTTCTGGGGAGGCCGGTGAGGCAAGGCCGGGAGAGCGTCTTGAAGCCCAGTTTGTGGGCGCTGAGAAATGTCAGATCATCAAATCTTAGGTAGAGTAACGATTTGAACCACGTGCTGGAAGCAGCGGTGTGATGACGTCGGGTGCCAGGTGCAGCGTTAGCCCCTGTGTCTCCCATATAACCTAATGCAGCTCAAGTTTGAAGATGCCGATACTGCTTTAAGTCTAAGCAGAGTGCGGAGCAGAATCATAGTCCTGTCTTAGCAACCACCAGGGTCAGTGTATAGATTGGGAAGGGCTTTTAATTTTTCACAATGAGTTAAAGGAGAGCGACAAAAGGGTTAGAAAAAAACAATGGCCTGTTTCTTTTTCCTGAATTCTGGTCAGGAATTTGCAGGGCTAACTAAAGTTTCTCTATAGTGCTTAAGTTAAATGACGGCTTTTGTACAATCTCCTTCTAATAAGCCGATGGCCTCCATGACTTCTGTTAAAAGCAATAGATGGTGGAGAAGAAGGAGCTGGCCTAAATAATTTTGGAAAATGTGTTTTATTGATTTTTCTAAATTGTGCTTTAGGTGAACGTTTACACAGCAAATTAGTTTGTCATTAAACAATTAATGACATGTCTAACGGACGTGTCAACACTCTCCCTTTCTCAACCTTGGGTTCCCCATTTCCATTCCTCCAGCTTCCCTGTCTCCTCCTGCCTTCTCATCCTTGCCCCTGGGCTGGTGTGCCCATTTAGTCTCATATACCTGGTTGAGCTACATGTATTACTGTTTCTTTTATGGGCCTGTCTAATATGTGGCTAAAGGGTGAACCTCACGAGTGACTTGAGTACTAAGTTAAAAAGGTTTCCAGGGGTCCATACTCTTAGGGTTTCTCCAGTCTCTGTCACACCAGTTAGTCTGGTCTTTTTTTTGTGAGTTAGAATTTTGTTCTACATGTTTCTCCAGCTCTGTCCAGGACCCTCTATTGCGATCCCTGTCAGAGCAGTTGGTGGTTGTAGCCTGGCATCATCTAGTTGTGCTGGACTCAGTCTGGTGGAGGCTGTGGTAGTTGTGGTCCATTAGTCCTTTGGACCAGTCTTTCCCTTGTGTCTTTGGTTTTCTTTATTCTCCTTTGCTCCAGATGAGGTGGGATCAGTAAGAGTACCTTAGATGGCCACTCACAAGCTTTTAAAACCCCAAACACTACTCACCAAAGTAGGATGTAGAACATTTTCTCTATAAACTGTGTTAGGCCAGTTTAGCTAGATGTCCCCCAAGACCATGGTCGCCACCCCTCAGCCCAGTAACTCGATCCGTATGGGAGTTTGCATGTGTCTTCAAAGCTTCTATGACTTTGCCTTGGCCAAGTTATACTGGCTTACCCAGTATTGTGTACTGTCTTACCCTCCACCAAAGTTACCAATTAACCAAAGTTACCACTTATCTTTTGTTGGTGTTTTTGCCTCCCCACCCCTACCCTCCCTCATGACCAACAAAGATTATTTCTTGTGGTAAACCTTTTCATGAGTTTTTATAAAAGTAGTCTCATACAGTATTTGTCCTTTTGTAATTGACTTATTTCACTCAGCATAATGCCCTCCAGATTCATCCATGTTGTGAGATATTTCGAAGATTCATCATTGTTCTTTATCACTGCATAGTATTCCATTGTGTGTATGTACCATAGTTTGTTTAACCATTCATCTGTTGATGGACACTTACGTTGTTTCCACCTTTTTGCCATTGTGAATGATGCTGTAGTGAACATGGGCGTGCATACGTCTATTCGTGTGATGGCTCTTATTTCTCTAGGATCTATTCCTAGAAGTGGGATTGCTGGATCGTATGGTATTTCTATTTCTACCTTTTTAAGGAAGCGCCATATTGTTTTCCAAAATGGTTATACCATTTTGCATTCCCACCAGCAGTGCATAAGAGTTCCAATCTCTGTGAAGCCTCTCCAACATTTGTTGTTTTCTCTTTTCAGATTCGTGCCAGTAATGTTGGGGTGAGATGGTATGTCATTGTAGTTTTGATTTGCATTTCTCTAATGGCTACTGATCGTGAGCAATTCCTCATGTGTCTGTTAGCCACCTGAATGTCTTCTTTGGTAAAGTGTCTTCTGTTCATATCCTTTGCTCATTTTTTTAATTGGATTATTTGTCTTTTTGTTGTAGAGGTGTTGGATTTTCCTAGAGCTTTTAGAGATTAGATCTTTGTCAGATATGTCATAGCCAAATTTTTTTTCCCAGTCTGTAAGCTCTCTTTTTACTGTTTTGGCAAAGTCTTTTGATGAGCATAAGTATGTAATTTTTAGAAGATCTCAGTTATCTAGCTTGCCTTCTGGTATTTGTGTATTGTTAGCTATGGTTTGTGTCTTCTTTATGCCATGTATTAGGGCCTCTAGCATTGACCGTATTTTTTCTTCCATGATTTTATAGTTTCTGGTTTTATATTTAGGTCTTTGATCCATTTTGAATTAGTTTTTGTGTATGGTTTGCAGGAAGGGTCC